CCTGTGATGTACAAATCGTTACAGGATGTTTGTGGTGCATGAATTTGTATTCGAGGTGAACATAGCACAGGCGCTCACACAGCACCCGAATTAGAAGTGTCCGTTTGCAACTGTGCGTGAACATTGGTTGCACGTGTATGACATACACTCGGGAGATTGTACTATGTTTGAAAGAATCCCGTACCGGTTATTTAAAACAATGAGCTCTTGGGCACCGAATTTGCCCAGTTCCTGAGACGGTGAACGTGTACTGCCGTTGTGTCGGCCGGGCGTACATGTGGTCATTCGCGAAACATTTGCTCTCTCCGAATCGACATGCTGAATCGCATTGGCTGATACTACGTTCAGAATTGGTGATAGAGCCTATGTACGCGCTGTGATATCCCCATGTGCTGTTTCCTCCTGACACAATAAGCGTGTCTGCATCACCCGGACTTTCAACATCCAAATAAAAAGCAGAATAGGGATGGAATTGTTACCATCCGAATCCTATCAGAATTGACCATTGGCTCCTGCATAATATTTCCAGATGTCACGCAGATTGTTGTTCCGAATAACATCACGGAGAGTTAGAAGTTAGAATTCCATCGATGAGAAATCAATCCGGCACCTTTGGTGCACGTGCGTGTCACTACTGCGAGGACATTACACAAATTTACTCATGATTAGGATGGCGATTCTCCACCAGGTGCAGCGTTCAACGTAGTGATAAATTGATCTCCACTACTGCAAAACAACGAATGGTATCCCTCAGTTGATGCAATCATCGCCTGCCTCGAGGCTTCTGCTCCATGTCTCATCGACATACTGATGAGGTTTGCACATTAACCATTTGACAAGTAGAATGGAGTTCGCTGACCACGTGCGTGGTCAAGACATTGATACAAGCGTTTTGTTGCCTCAGGCCATGAACAGCGAATTCTCGTGAACTTGGCCTTCTTGCTCCTCGTTCGCCAGTAATAAAATGCATGCTTTGTATCAGTTATGAGAAACACCTGAAATAATCTTGCGTGCGAACACCCATAGATCAGTGTGTGTGTGTGTGTGTGGAGTAAACAAGGTGATCAATATTGCGTACATGACTAACATGCTGATGTGTAGATTGCCAGTAATGTTTTGAAATCCCGCCTGTCTAACATATTGAGTACTCTGCGTGTTTACTACTAGCTGGACGCCGACAACTGTGTACTTACTTATCTACATCGCATCGTTCTTGCGTGTCCATCATTGTAATAGATTCGAGCATTCTCACTGTTGCGGTTGAGCGCTAATACCCATCCGCCTCCATTACAGTAACTGCGTATTTGGGTGAATAATTCACGGGAACAAGAGACTTGGAAGATGAGTCCGATTTAATGTATAGTGGAAATGCTCAGCGAGATTATTCGTGCATATGTAGAGAAATACTAACCACTGAGACAAAGTTAAGCCGAGTAGCACAATATATAAATGAGGGCGATACGAAAGCTTGTAAGCCTTAACCATAGCGGTAGGTTCTCACAACATGTCATCCGGCCTAGCGACACGTTTACAGGCAGGCAGTGCGCAACTGGCACTGCAGTACATACCTTGTGCTGGTGACTCTAAACAACTCTAATTGGTTTCGCAGTTGATCGCGCAACACCGGGGTCATATTTCAGATTTCGCAATCCTGTGCCGTTCATCTGGTTTCCCATTACTAAAAAGCGCAAGCCCAAGTACAAAGTCGTAGCAGTGACCAACAATGCTGTGAGGAAAGTTGGATAATCAACCGAATGATGGTGAACAGCCTCGATGGTCGTGGAGTTTATTGTAAACATGTTCGAACAATGGGAAGGTTGCGGAGCCATCGTGACGGTAGTACAATGGTGGAGTACAGCGATATAAACACAAAAATCACTAACCATATCATGATTGGTTGATAAGGCAATTCGGCTCATGAGAATTAATCCCTCTGCCGGATCTGTCTCCTTCGTAGCCGGTGATTGGAATTTGAGACACACCCATTGGTCAACCGGCGTGGGAGTATGATCGGTTAACTCATCACCCCTGTGACCACCCGGACCAATCAAATGGCTGCGTTGGGATGAACATGTGCTCCAGCTCTGCAGGCCTATATGAAGCCACAGATTGCTCGGAGGGGAGCACTGAGGATTCATTACAATCTTCCACATAGGCAGTCATGCACTCGAAAGGAATATTGCGTCGCCTGCTTGGTGCAATGACGGACCCGATTCGGCATGCGGAGGAATTACGAGTGAGTCCAAGAGTAAACATTGATGAGAACATGACTTACATCCGTCAATATTTCGATGATGCTTAATAACGTGGCTTTTGCACTCGCATTCTAATGATCTGTGTCTTCGCTCACAATCCTCGGTCGCTTTCGCTATTAGGTTACCCTTTAGATTACAACATTTTCGTGCATACATGTGGATAGAAATAGGTCATTCCAAAGGCACTTTTCTCCGTTTCACTACGGATGCATTTGGAACACATTTTAACCATCAGTATTTTGATGCACATTCTCTGACCTTATCCAAATATTGCTGGGCTATCAGTACATGTGTATAGCTGTTGTTTGGGCGCCCGTGTCTGTGCATCATGAACCGTGATCCAGGAAGTTGGTGGAGAACAAGTTCTCGGTGCTGTCACTATGCTGTGGGTATTCGAACCACAAACAATCTTCGCGATTGCGGTGACTGATTCTTTGATCTACTGATACTAATGCACATGACTGACCGTAAGGTGATTGAAACTAACGACTCAGAGTTTAGCTATATCTCTGTAATATTCAGCAAGCACGTATCTGTATGTGTGTGTGTGTGTGCCATTTATATCACTGTTAATTCCGGTTGAAGCAGTGGGAATAATTTCCACCTTGATCGATTTCAGTTACATAGGATGAAAATGAAGCGGAAGCGAGGGCAACGCTTTGCAACCAGCGTGCGTGCATTAGTACAGGAGCTTTTAGAAGAAGAAGAAGTGAGTTTCCGGAACTGTCTCTTTATTTCCCTGTGCGTTAATCCACCATATAACACATTGCTGACTGTCTCTTTGAAAATCTTCTCAACGTGTTCATTCAACGCCATTTCTCATTGACTTTGTAGCATAGAGTGGCTCGTGAGGAAGAACATTCGGATATCTCAGACGACGGTTACACTGTGCTCGGAAGTGTTGCATCGTCGAATGACAACCGACGTGGTAAGTGCTGCTTGACATACACTGCATTGATTGTAACTTTCGCAGTTCAACTGAGCAGGGATCAGCTTGTGTTGTAGTTCAGGGTAGAAGATCTTCGTAACTAGTTCTTTGGCACTGATTCCGTTATCCGGACGAAACACATAATGCAATGTCACCGATTAAGCTTTGGTTTAACAAGAATGAATTCCAGTGTGTGATTACCGATGTTGTTGTGACATGTTGAGGTTAACCATTTTCACTAGTGCTGAGGTCACTGTTTCACACTGCATATGGTGTGTGTCGAAAATAGGTGTTCCGATTCGTACGAATCATAAAGCCGGTTGAAATGGGCTGCAGAATGCTGGAATGCGTTGGATGTGAACCCGAGGTGCTGTGGTGGTCACCCATCACATAAGAGGTCCTCGAATTTTCAAGCAGTACGATGATGCATTGAGCGGAATTCTCTACGGCGGCTTCCACATGTGATGGAAGTGTAGTGGAAAGCATCATTCGGTCCATGTCGGTAAAATGAGCGTCACTGCATTTGAAATGCAAAGTTCAGATGTCCTTGGAGTTGATGGTGGTGATACTAGTGATACTTGGTTTCGAGTATCCTCCACATGTAGGTAGGTATCAGTCGAAAAGTATCTCCTTTCTAAATGTGCACGACTGCTTCCTCTTCTTCGTTTTCCCCCCTATGAACCGCTAGGAAACAGAGTTGTTAGAATCGGAAGGCTTGGAGTACTGTAGTTCAACTATCAAAGTGGGGTCCAGAGGATTGTAAGTAGCATGAGAGTAGAGGTCCATGCTACAGTCTCGTTTTCGAATACATGATTCACACCGAGTGAGTTTGCGTTTCCTGCACACACGGGGGCCTCTGAGGCGAAATCTGGAATCCCGTCACCTGGCAAAATTATGTCCACCTCAGCACACTGCCACAATGGTCTCCATCATGCGACAACTGGAGTTCGCGTTCTGCATTGCGTGTCTAATCATGGATCATTTTCATTTCAGAGCTCAAATCACAAGTGAATGGGCCAGCTGAGGAGAATATGGTACACTACAATGATGATAGTACACGATTGCCCATTGCTTGCGTGCGCCAGCAGGAGCAATTGGAGACGTTGGAATACCATCCGGTTCGGCTGCGCCTTCCAAGCATACCATCCACCAACAGCGCTTTCACGCACTTCGACTTGACACGGCATCAGATGAACAGCCCAACGACACCAGCGAATGAACTATCGTCAGGGCTCGATGCGGAGCAGTTTGACGTCCGTTCGCAGCAGACATCCATATCCGTGGTGCATGGGACCTGTTCCCAGTTACCGAAGCCGACTCAGTCACAACACATCCGACTTGATCCCGTCTGCGTTGAGAGCCATGCTACCACCATCCTCAGCTTTGATGAGGTCGACTCTTCAAAATGTATGAGATGGGTTCACTGCCACCATTGCTCGTTGAGCGGATCATCATGGATGCATTGTGTCAACACATCAAGGATCCGGATGCCGTATTTGGACCAAGCCACTCTGACAAATCTGAGACTATTCTAACTTAGCAAGTGTGACGTACTGATGTGATGTTTTCAAAATCATTTCCCTTTCGAATTCATGCCAATTAACCTGTTTCCGACATTTCCCGTAATGTGCAGAATATTGCAATGTATTGCTCCATGTGATTTGCTTTCTCGAATGAAATTACCCACAATCCTTCTTACCTATGTTCTCATTCGGGGACACACTGAGATGGGGCGCGGGGGCGGGGGAGTGTCAACGGTGCATTCATTTCACTTGTGGTGTAGTTGTTACTGATTGGCCAGCTACTGATTAAGCATGCGGCTCTGTGCACCTATTTGCTCACGCCATACATGGCAACCTCATGAATTACGTGGTGCATAGTGCATGAGAGGATGGATATCAAATCGACAGAGAGCAGTATGTATTACTTTTCGCACGTCATTGTACTGGGTATGTTTATGGGCTGCCATTGTTTGATGGAATGAGGATGCGTCAGCATGATTGATCAAGTATGGATATGCGATCGCGTACAATGTTACGGTGGGATGATGTGGGGGTTGACCGACCATACTATGTAGACATTTAATGAGCCGGCGTGATTCACGTGTCCGGAAGCGATTTCCAAGGAGGATGATTGCTTGTGGCCAGCTATTGTTGATTCAGATATTTAAGTAGAGCTACCGAATTTAAGCTGACTCAGCACACGCAATTCACGTATGACAGAAGTGGTTTGAAGAAGATGTTGGCCGATGCGAATGAAGGAGTTTAGACTCAGCTAACTTATGTGGTAAACAGTGAATCAGATTTCAGGCTGAAATCTGATGCACCCTGTTAAGGCCGCAATAGAGCGGCTACTGACACTCATACAGCCTATCTACTCGCCATGTCCTGATGTGATGAGTAAATCCCACGAAGTCAACATCACCAACACGTTGCTCGGTGTCGCCAAGGAAGTTTGGTAACAAACGTGCCTGTTGCACTGAGTCATGCTGCGCACCAATTTCGATTTGGATGCGATGTGACGGAGAGCGCTGGACTCCGACACTAACTCACATGCGCTTTTGTATTCTACTATTCCTCATGTCGTATTGTTTGACACTGGAGACATGATTGGTTGATGTAGACGCTCGACTGCTTTCGACGAATTGAAGTAAATCATTCACAGCAATCGCATCTGCAACCTCAGTCGAATCAGTCTGACATCACTGTTTTATCAGGAGTCGGGTGGTGCACGATGGCTGTCCATGAAAGCGGTGCAGTTCGAGAGTCATATTGGAAAGTGTCCCCACCCAGAATGACAACCGCCTGAATACGTCCCTGGGGAAACTGTTATAATCTTCTCACTAGGCGCAACTCCCAAAATAACAATTCCCTGTTCCACAAATCTTTTAGCCCTACCAAAGTACAAAGCAAAACCCCAGTGACCTTGACAAAATAACGTATTAATCGCCGCCAACGAATACTGTACGACGACTGCGTACCTTGGCTCTATTCATAGGTCCTACTGACCTTCGACTTCTAGAATTGGAAGGTCTGCTACCAAGGTTAGTGATTCCCCATATCTTTTGCCGACGGGTCAGTTGGCTTTTAATCACGTGCAGAAGCAGAACATTCCGGAACGTTCGAAATCGATGCGATAATCGTTAATAATCGGTTAATCGCTGAATAGCGGATTTCCAAGGCAGTTCTTACTTTCTCCCGGACACCTCCCCTCCTGAGATTGCGTCCGAGGTATAAGACGAAAGCCTAGGGTTAACTTGCAGTCTTCGGGACGGTGTTCTGTGCCTGTCGGTCCACCTCCTTGGCAGAAACGTCCGACAACTTTGTTCCGATGTTCTTGTTCTGGATTCTTTGCTCGACTGTGTGCAGTCTTCCACTGTTACCTTCGGCAGGTTGAAGCTTTCTACCAGTAAATCGAACGGGAGGTCTGTAGGCTTTGCTTGTTCTGGTTGGTACGATGTGGGCCGCAACTGGTTTGCATGCCGTGGCCAGATCTGTGCGCCCACCATCACGTCATACAAGACGTTTCCGCGCTTGCGTTTGACCGTCCCTGGCGTCCATTTCGCATGGCTTTCTCGGTAGTCACGTACTAACGCCTTCTGTCCACGCGTGAAAGATCGCTTCTTTGCTCCATGCCTCCGATTAAACTCCTGTTCCATTCTGCGGTTCCGTTCACCAACAGAGGACTCCGAGCCCGGTCGGATGGCGTCGAAAGGCATGCGGAGCTCCCGGTTCATCATGGCCTGTGCTGGAGAGACTCCGTCTGGCGCTTGTGGATTCGGTGTTGATCGGTAGAGGAAAAGGAACCGGTCAACCACCTCCGCTATGCGTCCCTCCCTTTTTGATTTGTGGAGAGCTCGCTTGAATGTATCGACAAACCTTTCTGCTTGGCCATTCGACTGTGAGTGAAACGGCGGCGAGCGGACGTGCTGTACGGCGCATTGCTTGCAAAACTCCGTAAACGTTGCTGAAGTATACTGTGAGCCATTGTCAGTGACAATTGTCTCAGGACAGCCAAATCAGCTAAAGGTTTGGCGCAGTTTCGATATGGTGGTATTGGTGGTTGTGTTCTCCATAAGAAATACTTCAGGCCACTTGCTGTAGAAGTCGACTATAATGAGGAAACTTCGGCCGTTGATCGGTCCCGCAAAGTCGACATGGATGCTGCACCATGGCTTAGTAACTTTTGGCCATGAATAGAGTACTGATGTTTGCGGCGCTTTCAAGACATTGGCGCACTTTTGGCAGCGTTTGGCTATTTCTTCTAGGTGTTTGTCCATGAATGGCCAGTATACATAACTGCGGGCACACGCCTTCATCTGGTTGATTCCAGGATGCCCGGCGTGGAACTGCCGAATAAGACGCTCCTGAAGTGCCTTGGGGATGACCACTCTTTCCGGAAATAGAATGCAGTCGTTTACAATAGAGAGCGAGTGTCGCCTCTGGAAGTACTGTTGCAACTCGGCAGACGGACATGAACGTGGCCAACTTGTTTTGTGAAATCGTGTAACCTTCTTGAGTATTGAGTCCCGAAGCGTTTCGGTTCGTACAGTTTCTGCGGTAACTGGTAGACCGTGCAATGCATCAGTTACCGGGAGGTTGACGTCAGGTTCAATCTCGACCGAGGCAATGATTGTGTCCTCATGTTCATGCTGGCGGGCATCAATTAGACGTGACAGTGCATCCGCTTGGCCAATGGAAACTGTGGACTGGTATTGGATCTCAAAATCATACCCCATTAAGGGAAGAGCCCAACGTAGTAGCCGATTGGCTGTGTAGGCCGGGATGCCCTATTTCGAACCAAAGATAGCCAGCAAGGGCGTGTGATCTGTTAGAAGCTTGAAGCGGCGGCCGTATAGCATTTTGTGAAATTTCTTGACTGCGTACACAAGGGCCACGGCTTCTTTCTCAATCTGGCTGTAGTTCTTCTCGGACTTCGTAAGGGTTCTGGCGGCATGGGCGATCGCCTTCTGAGATCCATCGGTGTAGGTGTGTGATATTACTGCACCAATCCCATGGCTTGTTGCATCTGTGGCTAAGACAATCTCTTTGGAGAGATCAAAATGAATCAAAAGCAAGTTTGAGGACAGCAGTGACTTGACGCGTTCGAAGGCATTCTGGCATTCGGATGTCCAGTTCCATGTTTGGCCTTTGGCTAATAGCTTGTTTAACGGGGCACGCAGACGGTGCATCTCAGGCAAGAATGCGCTGTAGTGGCTGATGAGCCCACAAAAGGAACACAAGGACTGTAGATCTGTTGGTGGAGGCATGTTTCTAATGGCTTCTATGATTTCCGGGTCTGGTCGACGACCATCCTTTTCGAGGATAAAACCGAGGTATTTGATAATCGGCGTGAAAAATGTGCATTTTTCTACACGGATCCGAAAACCGTACGACTGTATACAACCAAGCACTTCATCCAGTCGGTTAAACAGTTCTTCCGGTGTTCGGCCCATCACTATAATGTCATCCAAATATGCAGCGGTTCCAGAAACGCCCGCTAGCATGGTGTCCATCAACAGTTGGAAGATGGCTGGCGCCGTTTTCACACCAAATGGCAAGCGGTTGTATTGGAATAGCCCACGATGAGTGTTGATCGTCAACAACTCCCTCAAGACATTATCAACATCCACTTGAAGATAAGCATCGGATAGATCAAGCTTGGCAAAGTACTTACCACCATTCAGCTTTGCAAAGATATCTTCCGGTACAGGTAGTTGGTATTGGTGGTTATCCAGCGCGGCGTTGATACCAGTTGAGAAGTCAGTGCAGACGCGTACCTTGACGTCTGCTTTCTTCCGAGCGACTTGTCCGAGCAATTCCAAGCTGCAACAATTATCTAGGCGCATCACCTTAGACGCATCAAGTGACCTTTGGTCAATAAGTTAACTCCAGTATCCGAATCGTCTTTCGAGTTCGTGTCCATCAATATTCTTTGGAATGAATAATCAGCTCACTAGACCGAGACGAGGAACATTTGATTAGGATAATCTGGGATCACGTCCCCACATCCGATGTGCTTCATTGAAGATCCTGATGAATGTAATACGGAGATCGGAATGTTTGCCACGTATGGGGGCAGTGATCGTGAGATAGATCGATACTGGATATCGTCAGGGACAGGCAGACACGGAGGCGCGCGTCTTCTTAATCTCATTACATCCACGAGCGAGCGGTCACATTTCCGTTTTCCAACTCGTACTGTTCGTCAATTCCAACGAGTTGATGGTACTGCCATACACAATACACCAAGTGCACCCCAACTGGAGTTGAATGGAATCCCGTGAGTGCTGCACACTCATCTCCATTGATTATGTGCAACGTGTGTAGCAACCGATGATGTAACGCGCTGCAACGTACTTTTGCGTCAGACGACTATGTGTCAGTTTGGAGTAATATCGAGCTCGCTCGCTAGTCGATTGCCTTAATGCCAGCTGTGTATTCCTATTATTGCACACAGGATATTGTGTCAATTGAGTCGAGATCGTCGAAAGTCTATCCATGCGAACCGCTGTAAATGAATTAATGCGGTATCC